TATACCTAAACACACTCACCCTGAAAAGGTCTCCTCAGCATTCATAATTGCTTTATTTAAGACTTCATAATGCAATATAATTTCCATGCACATATGAAGTATTATTTTTGGGAGGAAATCTTCAGATCTTGTAAGTCCTCTTGATCAATGAGAAATGTCTTGAACATTATGAGCATGCATAATATTAAACCTTTTATATGAAGCAATTTTTTGTTTCCCTTATTTGCATGTTCAGACCCAGAAACCTCCCCACTAAATAAATTCACACTTGACTCAAATTTTGGTTTTGGTTTTTGGCAGAATTTAGGCCACAACTCTATTGATTACAGAAAGTGACTGGTTGCATAGGCTCTGGCTTGACTAGCTCCCTGCACCTGTTGCAGGTAGCGCTGAACCAGGGCACCAGCATAGGTCAGCCTAGGGTGAACACCCGGATAAGCAGAAAGCCGGGAACAGGCTATGTCCACCACCCAGATGTCCCCCTGGACTCAGGCACGGGCACAACCCCTTCACAGGCATTGACCAAACCATCGAGTCCCTGGATTCCTTTAACGGAATACCCTTCACATAGGGATGGCAAGAGCGTTCTCCCATCCCTATCACCTGAACCAGAACCTATCCGCAACCTTACAAGTTGTGACAATTTGCTGCGCAGCAGGCGAAACCCAAATGGCAACAGCCAGTCAGCCAAGTGGGGAAAATTCCTGCCGTGCCCCTGTCCCAACTACAGACGACACACGATGGCAAAACGAGGTCAAGCGCAAAGCCTTAAGAGTAGGGAGAGGTGGGCGGGTGTTCCGAATGCACGTTCCGAAAGAGGAAGCTCTGGGTCACGTCCATGGGCATAAATAGGTCCCTTGAACCGTTTGGACTGCACCCCATTGACCAGATTGCACCCAGCTTCGAGGGACCTACCAATCGGGTGTTGTGGCTGACCACCCACAACACAGGGTGTCGGTTGTCCAGGTCTCAGCGCAATATGTGCCCTCTTTAAGGGAGGACCCAGTTTATCCTCTGCTGTTGTCAACATACTCCTAACTAACGTATTTGCAGAAGAAAGTCAGTAGAGACAAGTATGGTAGCAGGTGAGAAATCACAACCACGTTCTTAGTTATGCACAGTGTGCCCCTGAAAAGCTGTGGTGCAGAGAAATAAAAGATAATTGAATCATGGAATTGTAGAGTGGGAAGGACCCTGGGGGTCATCTAGTCCAACCCCATGCAATGCAGGAATCTCAGCTAAAGGCTTTCAGGTCAACCTCTGCTTGAAAACCTCCAACAAAGGGGAGTCCACCACCTCTTGAGGAAGACCTGCGCTGTCAAACAGCTCTTACTGTCAGAAACAATATTCCTGTTATTTGGTTGGAATCTCCTTTCTTGAATCCATTGGTTTGAGTCCTACCCTCCAGAGCAGGAGAAAACAAGCTTGCTCCATCTTCTATTTGACAGTTAAATCTCCCAGGTTTCCTGTTGCAAGCTGGACAGGAAGCTTGTTTAAATATTTGGAGACTGTCCCTAAAATTTACATTATATCCTTCTTGTTATCATCATTGCAATCTGTATGTTTGGAATATTGAGAGCAAGTTGAGAGCCTCTCTAACCCCACACCAACATCCAGCGCAGCAGAGTTATTTTTAAAGCCCTCTTAACAGGAGTTTAGGTTTTTTTAAAAAGGTTTATTCCTGTGTTTGTGTAGGTATTAAATTAATGCAACATAACGCTGATGACTTCACCCAGAATGAAACATATCAAGGCCTACATATTTTTAGCAAGTTTCTGTCGTTATTATTGTGTGGTTGGAAAAATAGGATAAACACTAGGGGGTTTCTCTACATCTGTAGCTGTAGCGTTTGGAAGCTGCCCAAACTGTTTCTGAGCCATTCTGTGTCTTTCGAATTTGACTCAATATTTTGGACCAGTTTATATCTATTGAAAATGAAACTGGTCCCTGCCTCCCTCATTTGCTATAATAAGGAATCTTTCTTTTAACTGAAGTGGGTGAAACCTGTAGGCACAGGAGACTCTCTAGAGTAGATTAAAGCCTGTCAGATTTTAGCAAGATACATGAAGAATTTTTTGTTCAGGGCACCTTTAGAATTTGATATTTTAAAGAGACAGACAGACAGACAGACAGACAGACAGGATCTTATTTTTCTCCAGACTTGGATGCAAGTTGCAGACATGGTCACCCCTTCTGAGGAGATGAAACCTACTAAATTGGTTCTCATTCAAGGGCAGATTTTATAATAATAACTGGTAGGCTAGAAGAAGAGTGTGGATAGCCAGCATCTCATCATGAATTATCCTGGGTGCAAAGAAGCAGATCTTCCTTTTTATATCCGATTCACAGAATGTTGGTTTTTCAATCAGCACTAAGCCAGATTTCCATGGTTTGGATGTGACTGGGATCTCCCTGGGGTAATGCAAGCCAGGATCTTGGTGTGAAGCTGGTGTTCTGTGGGAAGGAACTAGGGAAATGTATATTTGGTCCTAGTAAATGCTCAGGGATATCTTGGACTGTTTGGACACAGAGGAGTGAAGAAGTTGGCTGAAATGGGAAGAGCAAAGACAAGTGGTACGCAGGCACAGTCTCCGATTGCAGGAAGCCCTGGAGAGAAGGAGACACCAATGGCTTTGTGGATGCAGGGACTTTTAGTCTCAGCAACTAATTTCATTGAGTGGGACCTACAGGGCATGAGCTGCAGTGATCATTAGGCCTAAAGCACAGCCAAGACTGCCAAGATCATGTTTCTCTAATAAAAAGTTAACTCCAACTTTGAACTGTGTGATTTACTGATTGGCTTCCTCCTTTACACGGGACGTGGGTGGCGCTGTGGGTAAAACCTCAGTGCCTAGGACTTGCTGATCGCAAGGTCAGCGGTTCGAATCCCCGCGGTGGGGTGAGCTCCCGTCTTTCGGTCCCAGCTCCTGCCCACCTAGCAGTTCGAAAGCACCCCTAAGTGCAAGTAGATAAATAGGGACCGCTTACTAGCGGGAAGGTAAACGGCGTTTCCGTGTGCTGCGCTGGTGCTGGCTCGCCAGAGCAGCTTCGTCACGCTGGCCACGTGACCCGGAAGTGTCTCCGGACAGCGCTGGCCCCCAGCCTCTTAAGTGAGATGGGCGCACAACCCTAGAGTCTGTCAAGACTGGCCCGTACGGGCAGGGGTACCTTTACCTTTACCTTCCTCCTTTACAATGGCATTACAAACCTTTTTTTAAAAAAATAAGGACTGGAACAATTGTCTGAATTAGGCCATTACAAGAAAGATTCATTTCTTTATTTGGGGAGGGTTTTTAATTTCATGGCGGAGCACAATGCTTCGGATGTATTATGTTTTGAATTCAATCCCTGTTACCTCTCATGTAAACCTGTGGATTGGGTTGGGCTAATCAATGATCTGACTCCAATAAGTCAACTTAGAATGGTCACAGAATTCCTTCCTGCCATAGTGGTCCTTGTTTTAAAATCCTGGCCCCTCATTTTTAGCTGGAGTCAGGTTGACCAAAGATTGAAAGGACAGCAACATCAGTTCTGTTCGCTGACTCTAACAGAGGGTCAGCTTGTATTGCATTAAGAAAGCAGCATGTCTTCCAATGTCAGCCTGATGAGTGACAAGCTCTCCTCTCTTTCCTCTTGCAGTTTCGTCTGGTTGTGAAGACAGCACTGAAGTTGCTCCTTGTTTTTGTGGAGTATACAGAATCCAATGCACCACTTCTGATCCAAGCAGTGTCCATAGTGGATGACAAGAGAGGTGAGTTAGAGTAGCTGCCTGTAGTTGCGCTTCAAAGGAAATAATGAAATGGTTTGTGGTTTTGCTACCACAAAACAACCCTACAAAAGCAAATCATACTCTCTTTCATGTTCTCAGGAGCAGAATTCAAGTAGAAAACAAAACGCTTGTAGGCCACACCATGGCATAGCTTGGGGGGGGGGGTCAGAGGGGTTGCTAACCAGGGTGCAAAATTTTGGGGAGCTGCAAAATTTCAAAAGAAAAATAAACCACTTTTAGGTTTTTTTAAAACAACCAAGCAATGTGAAAATTTCATTAAATTAATAATAATTAAAAAATAAACAGCCTCCGCTGTTATCGCCCAAGCTTTCCTCTCCATGCTGGGAAGACCCTTCCCCATCAGCCTCACTGCCACCCAGCCCTGACAGGAACAATGGGTGCTGTCAACCCATGCTATGCCACTGATGCCACAGACATGTGTGCACGTGTAGGAATTGGAAATTTGCCTACAAAATGCATGGCTAATAGTGTCTGGGAAATGATATTGATTGATTGATTGATTGATTGATTGATTGATTTATACACAGCCCATCTGACTGGGTTTCCCCAGCCACTCTGGGCGGCCTCCAACAAAAGATTAAAAATACATTAAAAACACCAGTCATTAAAAACTTGCCTAAACAGGGCTGCCTTCAGATGTCTTCTAAAAGTCAGATGGTTGTTTATCTCTTTGACATCTGATGGGAGGGCGTTCCACAGGGCGGGCACCACTGCCGAGAAGGCCCTCTGCCTGGTTCCCTGTAACTTTTCTTGCAGTGAGGGAACCGCCAGAAGGCCCTCGGAGCTGGACCTCAGTGTCCGAGTTGAACGGTGATGGGTCCCGCACTCCTCCTGTGTTTTGTAGGTAAAAGCCCCATTGTTATAGATGCAGAATATGACAACAAAACTTAATCTACGAGGGACATGTTCTCCTGTCCTTAAATTCTGATTAGTAGGGTATTCTCATTTTTCTCAGTTTTGGTGTTTTCCTGATTTTGTAGGTGAGGTTTCAGGCAATCCTCAAACAGAGAAGCAGTTAGTGTCGTGTGATGCACATCATTTCAGTGTTGTGGAGAGGGTGGAGCTCCCCATGGCAGTGGGGATGCAGTGAGAGCTACTGGCCAGAGGGCTGTAAAACCTGTCACCAAGGCCTTTGCAGTTTATCTTGAGGCAGTCATGGTGTGCTGCCTCAGCCGAGATGCACCTGACTAGGCCATCTGGGCAGTGAGCTCCTTCATGAGGGTAGGGCAGGCATCCATTGGTCAGAGTCAGCCAGCCATGCCCACTGTGAATTTTATGCCCGTGCATTTTCATCTTAATGGTTTCATGCCCTCTTGAATTCTCTCTTCAAAGTTCTTTTCGATTTCCTCTTACGGTACTTGTTGACTATTGGCCTCATGCCAGTATTTAGCCTATGAAGGAGTTTGGAGGTGGAATTATGGCTGCTGACACCAGGCTTGCCCTCTGATTGACCCTCATGAAGGATTTAGTGTGCATTTACGCCACTTACAGGACCTAGTGTTGTAGGAATTCTAAGGTCTCAAATATAGAATAAATGTTCATAAATGCACACATCTCTAAATGTGTCTGAAATAGTACGGAAGAGCAATCCTGAAGCCATTTTGATTCTCCCAATGACCTCAAATATTCCTCTGCAGTAAGGGACACAAAAGGGGAAAGCCTTCCCATTGTATTTTTGCTTACAAATCCTGTCTTAAGGGTGTATTTGTGTAGGAATAGGGTGAGCCTGTGACCCTGTGGATTCTGGAACCAAAGAATTAACCATCACCAAAGAATGGCCAGGCTGACCAGGTAATGCAATCAGTGGCCATTATCAGGTATCCTGGCAGACAGGATTTCTGCTGTAGACCGCCTCCTAAGATGTATGTATGATGAGTTTAGGGTGGTCTTTAGCTAAGGGGGTTGGACAATGTCAAAAGTCTTTAAAGGTTCTTGCACACTTTAGTGTCTCTCCCTCCTTGGAAGGAGAGAAGGGAACTCTGTTGCAGCAGAAAAATAAGTACCTGCCTTGCTTTCCACTGGATCCTGCCTCCATCCATTCTTCTCTGACCGATCATGGACTTAGGGGACTCAGAGTCCCATGGGGAGTTGGGCAGCAAAGGCCAAACCCCAATTTTTACATAACTAGAAAGAGATCTGTATGATTGTTGTATTTCATCACTGCCTTCCTTGGATATGGCAGCCATCTCTCAGGCTTCCTCTCCAGAATTAAACCCAATTCCTCATTCCCCCATTGGTCACCATGGTTATGCACAGCCCAGGAGGGGTTCAGAAAGTTCTAGATGTTCATTGACATCTATTAGCTCTAGAATTAGCACAGTGGAGTGGCCAAAGGAAGCATAACTGACTTAATGAGGTGTTCACAGTTTCTATTTAACACCCATGTGTAGTTATGCGTGTATAGTTTAATCTTTCTAGCTTGAGCCCAATTGAAATGAATGGGAGTTGCAGAAAAGCTTCCATTCATTCAAAGGTGCTCTGAAAGCCTGCTGGCTTTAGCTATCTTACTCGGGAATCCTTTGATCATTCTCAGAACCAGTTGATCAAGTGCAGGCCTGCTTTTGTGGACACCTGGTGCTTTAATGGACATTTTGTTCGGTGAGTTATAATCTTTTAACATGTGCAGTGCACATGATTGGCAAAAGCGGGGCCACTCCTAATAATTCAGCCCCAGTTTTCCTAGTACAGCTGTGTTGCTTCCACACTGCAGTACATCCAAATGGAATTGAAAACTCTGTAGGAACATCCGGCTTACAAATGCTCCCTGCAGTTTTGGAGGAATGTGTTAAGAGGCAAGCAAGAGTTCAGCCTATAACATGTACATTATTGTCTCTCTTCTGCATTCCCCCCCCACAATACAGAGTGCTCTTCTTGCAGGACAAACACGTCAGTATTATAAACTTAAATATTCTACTGTCAGCCTTTCCAAATAAGAAAAATCACTTCTCCCCCAATTACCTATTGTAATTGTTTTATAGCTTCTGAGCACTAAAATGTTTTTCATGCTAATGAGCTATAGAATCAGAATTATAGAGTGGGATGAGACCAGTCCAGCCCTTTGCAATGCAGGAATCACAACCAGATCAAATATGACATGTGGCAGTCAACCCTCTGCTTAAAACCACACAAGGAAGGAGAATCCACCACCTTCAGAGGAAGTCCATTCCACCACTGAACAGCTCTTCCTGTCAGAAAGTTCTTCCTGCTGTTTAGTTGGAATCTCCTTTCTCATAACTTGAATTCATTGGTATGGATCCTACCTTCCAGAACAGGAAAAAACAACCTTCCTCCATCCTCCACCTGACAGCCCTTTAGACATTTGAAGACGGCTATCATATTGAATGCAGATTTCCAAAAATTAGCAAGGAGAGACAAGAAGGCCTCCTTAAACGAGCAATGCAAAGAAATAGAGGAAAACAACAAAATGGGAAGAACCAGAGATCTGTTCAAGAAAATTGGAGATATGAAAGGAACATTTCGTACAAAGATTACCATAATAAAGGACAAAAGTGGTAAGGACCTAACAGAAGCAGAAGACCCTGATGTTGGGAAAGATTGAGGGCACAAGGAGAAGGGGACAACAGAGGGCGAGATAGTTGGATAGTGTTGTCGAAGCTACCAGCATGAGTTTGACCAAACTGCGGGAGGCAGTGGAAAACAGGAGTGCCTGGCGTGCTCTGGTCCATGGGGTCACAAAGAGTTGGACATGACTAAACAACAACAACAACAACAAATCATATTTCCTCTCAGCTTCCTCTTTACAAGGCTGAACATACACAACTCCCTTAACCGTTCCTGATAAGACTTAGATTCCAGGCCCTGGCTCAAGTTGGTTGCCCTCCTCTGCACACATTCCAGCTTGACAATACCCTTCTTAAATTTTGGTACCCAGACCTGGACACATTACTCTAGGCGTGGTCTGACCACACTACTTCAGAACATGTCGTTTAGTGGTTGTTGTAGTGTACCATTTATATTATGCCAGCAGCACATGAAGAACATTCGCATGCTGAGGATCTTACAATCTAGCTTTCGAATGTGGAGGGGAGAGACTAGTGGGAAGGGAGAAACGCAAGAAAAGCAAACACCAGGAGGTATTTATTTGGGGGGGGTGCTAGCAACCCACGGGACGCAGGTGGCGCTGTGGTGTAAACCACTGAGCCTTGGGCTTGCCGATTGGAAGGTCAGCGGTTCGAATCCCTGTGACGGGGTGAGGTCCCATTGTTCAGTCCCAGCTCCTGACAACCTAGCAGTTCGAAAGCACGTCAAAGTGCAAGTAGATAAATAGGTACCACTCCGGCGGGAAGGTAAACGGTGTTTCCGTGCGCTGCTCTGGTTTCACCAGATGCGGCTTAGTCATGCTGGCCACATGACCTGGAAAATCTGTCTGTGGACAAACGTCGGCTCCCTCGGCCAGTAAAGCAAGATGAGTGCCGCAACCCCAGAGTTGTTCACAACTGGACTTAACTATCAGGGGTCCTTTACCTTTAACTTTACCAATGTAAAAAGACTTCTCGTCATTTCTTTCTTTCATTCTTTCTTCATTGTGACTACTCCTTCAGATGGCCGATGGCCTTATCCACTGCTTCTTTGGTTACTGGCTTGGAGTTGCACTTGCTTCAGTCGTTCCATAGCTTGGATCGTTGTACTTGCCTCCAAATATTTCCCCTGACAGTGGTTTGGCAGTGATATGGAAGGGGAAGCTCCATCTGCAGGCAATCCTGCCCCCTGTGGCATGATTGTGATTGGCTTGAATTGCTTGCATCTTTCTGACATTACAGCATATCTTGGTAGATCTGTACCATTTTATCCTTACACCACAGCTCTCCGAAATGCCTTGGCGCTTCTAGATGTTAGTCTCTAGGGCAGACGCTCAGAGCACGTTCTTTCACTTGCCAGTGTACCCATCAGTTTCAGTATTCGCCTCCATTACATGTGAGGGCTTTCCCCCCTGGAGGGCATTGTCCCTTCCTCCTGCCATGTCAGTTTCTCTCTCGGCCTCTGACACCTCATAATAACTGAACTCACTGGGCAGTTTGTGGGTTTTTGCTGAATGCCATATAGTTGTTTTCTCAACTCCCTCAGGTTCTAGATGTTTCAGAAGCAAATTCTGCACTTTAGTCTTAGGAGAGCAGTGGAGTTAAGTCCCAGTGGGCAAGCTCAAAAAAAATTTGGTGGGAGGGTGGGGTCTTACCTTTCAGTAGAAAGTGGTGAGGGGCTTTTCCTTCCTTGTTTCTTTTTATTGCATGCCGAGATCCCCAAACCACCCCTAAATAAATTCACACTTCACACCATAATTTTTGTTTAAGGTTTTTGACATAATTTTGGCCACAACTTTATTAAAATACAAACAATGTGAGTGGTTGCTTAGGCATTGGTTACGAGTATCTGTCCCCGCCCAGGGACAGAACTTACATCCGCAAGCCTGCAAAGTCAGTAAGGGAAAACATTATATGGGGAGTAGATGGAGCTGGGTACCAGACCCTCACCTCTCCCCAAATGCTCCCAGGGGCTCTTGCGTGGCCCTAGCCCCTTGACAGAGGTGCAGACAAAAGCATGGTGAGCCCCTGGATTCCTTTAATGGAATACCCTTGCAGCAACAGCATTGGAGGGGCAGGCCCACCCAATCCATACCCCTCCACCAACCAATATTTTTCTAAAACCAATGCCTAACCTCAACCTTACAAGTTGTGACGATTTGCTACGCAGTAGGCAAAAACCAAATGGCACCAGCCAATCAGCCAAATGGACAAAGTTCCTACCAGGCCCCTGCCCCAAGGCAGACGACCCCATGACAGGCGTAGCAAGGTCAAACGCAACAAACACCCTAAAATTAGGGAGGGTGGGCGGGTGCGTGCAGCGAAAGAGGACACTCAATGCTGCCCGCAGAGCATATATTCAACCCAGGCTGTCAATCAAACTTGGCAACATCAAACTCTCCCCAGCAACCTGAGGAGTCCAATCACACTTTGGGCCAACCAACCAACTTGCCCAGCAACAGGGGGTGTCTGGTTAACCCCATTGCAACCCGTGCTCTCCATGAAGGAGAACATGCTTTACCATTTACACCAAAACAAAAATCCCTACTGCTGCATAAGGCTCAGCTGCGCTATCATCCTAGCCACAGTTCAGGGACAGGAATGATGTAGGATCGAGCAGTGGCATTCATGGGGGGCGAAGATGGCTACCTTGTTGTAGTCTTATTCTCCCCTCAAGAATGCATTTGTTTGGTTTGTGGGAGGGGCCGTTCATACTTGTATTCAAAGCAAACAGCAGCACCCTGAAAATTATTAAAAGTCACTGAAAATCTAACCCCCCACTAAGGATGAATTCTTTCATTAAAGTGGGGGGGCCCGGGGATTTATTTTAAATAATAGGCCATGAAGAAATAACAAAAAATAGAAATAGCAATATATGTTAGGGAGATTCATTTTCTAAACCATATGGTGCTATACCATATACTGGCCTGATGAGGCTAAGAAAACAAATATGTTGAAACAATTAAAGCTGATAAAAAGTGGGATGAGGTCTGCAGTATGGTCTGTAGCAGAGGAATCCAGTAGGGGGAAGCAGTACATTTCTTATTCCTTATTTCATTGCTGCCCATTTCATTTCAGCGTTTTAAAGACTTCCATTCTGATTTACTGAAAAGTTAGGAAAGGCTCACAATCAAGAAGGTCGTGCAGTGACGAGGCCGTAGGGTAGTTTAAAAATGTGGGCTATTCCTCCACAGATTTAGGAACGGAGAAGGAAAAGTAGGTTTCCCAGCTTTCCCTTTTCTTTTCTTTTTTAGCTCTGATTAGCTTGCAAGATCAATCATTGCAGAAAAGATACACAGTCCCAAGATCAAGATGAGAATGGATAAATCCCAACAGCTTTTGAAGGGGGTTGATCTGGAAATGTAACCCCATTCCAGGTGGCCTTTTTATATAGCTGGTGGAGGAGTGTTAGTTCACATATTTATGCGCATGAGTTGATTCTGCATTCTATAATAGTGTTTGATGACTCATAGCTGAGTTTATGAACTTAGTCCACTGCTGTGTTTGATCAAAGTCTTGTTGTGAGTGTTAAACCCAGCTTCACATACACACATGACGGTGTGAACCCATAAGCCTGGCACATTTAAACCCCACCCCCATAGAAATCAAACCCACACTGAAATGTCTCTAATTCATGATCAAGTGCATCAATGTTGCTCACCATCCCATTTTATGCAGCTCATACTACCAGTCCCTGGTACTGCTGGCCCTGCAGTTCAAATGGAGTGGGATCTATGTTGGGGTGGATGGGAGTCATGTCTGTATGTATGGTCTGGGTATTCACTTGACTTTGCTGGTTGTTGAGGGGTGAGCTTTTTGGAGTGGAGTCCGTAAGACGGTTGGATGTCTCCTTGTACACCTCATCTAGTGT